CTCTCTCTCTCTCTTTCCTCTCTCTCTCTCTTTCTCTCCCCCTTCTCTCTCTCTATCTCGCTCACTCTGTCTCTATCTCGATCTCTCTCTTTCCTATCTCTCTCTCTCTCTCCTCTCTTATCTCTATCTCGCCTCACTCTGTCTCTATCTCGCTCTCTCTCTCTCTTTCCTATCTCTCTCTCTCTCTTCATCTCTCTGACTCTCCTCTCTCTCTCTCTCTCTCTCTCTCTTCGCTCTCTCTCTATCTCTTTCCTTTCTCTCTTCTCTCTCTCTTTCCTATCTCTCTCTCTCTCTCTCTCTCTCTCTCTCTCTTTCTCTCTAACTCGCTCACTCTGTCTCTATCTCGCTCTCTCTCTCTTTCCTATATATCTCTCTCTCTCTATCTCTATCTCGCTGACTCTGTCTCTATCTCGCTCTCTCTCTTTCCTATCTCTCTCTCTCTCTTCATCTCTCTGACTCTCTCTGACTCTCCTCTTCTCCTTTCTCTCTCTCTCTCTCTCTCTCTCTCTCTCTCTCTCTCTATCGCTCTCTCCTCTATCTCTTCTCTCTTTCTCTCTCTCTCTCTCGCTGTCTCTCTCTCTCTATATATATATATATCTCTCGCTCTCTTCTTCTCTCTCTCTCTCATCTCTCTCTCTCTCTCTCTCTCTCTCTCTCTCTCTCTCTCTCTCTCTCTATCTCTCACCGCTATCTTTCGTTTTCTTCTCTCTCTCTCTCTTCTCTCTCTCTCTCTCTCTCTACTCTTCACGCTATCTTCGTTCTCTCTCGCTCTCTCTCTCTCTCTCTTTCTTCTCTCTCTCTCTCTCTCTTCTCTCTCTCTATCTCTCTCTCTCTCTCTGTTCTCTTTCTAATTTTATCCCGCCTGTCTCAGTAATACAGCTGCTGTAATTATAATATTTCAGCATGCGCCATGAAACTGCTTATTGCATGCTAACAAGAGCATCTACGAGCGCTTGACGTCGCGCCTAAAATAGCGCTGTAAGCTGTCGAAGCGAGCGCTATTCGCACGCCACCTGGTGGCAACGTCGATGCTAGTATGGCATCGAAAGTAAGACACGGGACGTGCCGCTCCATCCTAGCACGGAGAGACGCGGGCGACTGTGCAATGCGCGTGGCTAGCTCCATTAGTGCTACTAACGAACTATATATATTTATATACAGGTGATAATATAGTCGTTATTTGTATCGACAGCGCGTTCTCTCGGAATAACGTGACCCCATCCCTCCCTTCCCTTCATTCTCCCGCTCCATCCCCCGCACTGTGCAGTAACTGGTACAGAGCCGCGGCACACAAGCATTAGCTACTCAGCAATGAATAATCACCCGTGACCTGGACATCGACCAGCAGCGCCCACCCGACGCGCAACGCACGAGACGCACCTAGCGGCCACCAGGCGCGCTCGCATCGACTGCGGTGGCGACGATGCGAGTCGTGTGTGCGAGAGCGACGCTGGCGTCTCCAGGAGACGCGGTAGCGCCTCCAGGAGACGGCGGCTAGCAAAGCAGGTGACGGCGAGGCGGTGGACGGGGCTTCCTCTGCAACTTCCTTTTGCGGATTCGCGGTACGAGCGGGGAGTTCGCGGGAGAGTCTCGCCGACATGACGATACACGGCGCGGCGGCAGCGGCGACCGTGCCCCGCGTGCTGACACAGAGAAGCCGACCGCATCAATCACTACGAACTCCTTCTCCCGCGACATCGCCCAGCTAGCGCAGCTCGCGCATACGCTCTACCGCAAGCCGTCGGCAGTGCACGCGACGCGCGACGCGTCGCCGAACCCGGCCGACGAGACGCGCCACCGCCGCGCCGCCGGCGTTGGCTCCCGTTGTCATGGCTACGGATAGGCGCGACGACGAGCGAGCGTGAGGACACGTTTGCGAGGCGCCCGCTGACTCCTCTCATACCGAGCAAGACGGTGGATGGCGGGGCGGGCTGATGGAGCTGCAGAGCTGGGCCGCGGCACGGCGGCGGCGGCGGCGGCGGCGGCGGCGGCAGTGAAGACAACTACACGCAACGCTCACTTGCATAAGATCGAGAGGTAAGGCTGCCATTACAGCACGCAAAGCCAGGCAGCGACCCGTGGATCATTGTTATGAAGAGCAGAGAGTGTGATAGAATATATAGTATGTAACCTCCGGAGCTCGTGTGTATGTATAATAAATAACGGCGAGAGTTGTTAGCAATACTTTGATCCGGTAATCGATTTAAGTCCGGATCTTAATTAGAACGAGCTGCCAGCGCGGCCTATAATTACTCAGACTCAAAGACGTAGATAGCGGGGGGGATATATCCACACCCTCACTTATTGAGGTGGGAATGACGTTATATCAACCCCCCCGCAGCTACTTTCAGGAGAAAAATGGGGAAAAAATTCATATTCTACAGACATTGAATACTGAACATTTATCTACAAATCCGTTATCGCTATTCATACCCTCGTAATTTATTATTACACAAATGAAACGTGACATACATCTACTGTAAAATGTCTGTAACTCGTTCCAAGAATGACATTATTTTACTGAAACTCAGACGGTTAATTTTGGACGAATTATACGATTTTTTTTCCAAATCCCCAAATCACGTCTTATCACTGCTCACGAAAGTAAAATTCCTGCTTTATTCAAAACTAGCGGGATACCCGGCGTTGCCTGGGGAAATCAGTGGCGTTACTCAGTTGGTGATCGCTTGGTTGAAAGGAAAATACCAAAAAAATCTAACTATCTATCTATCCATGCATCCATTCATGGATCCATCCATCCATCCCATTCCATGCCATCCCATCCCATCCCATCGCACCGCATTCTATCCCATCCCATCTCATATTCCATAACATCCCATCTCATCCCATGCAATTCCATGCCATCCCATGCCATGCCATCCTATGCCATCCCATGCCATCCCATGCCATCCCATCCCATCCCATCCCAAACAGTAAAAAATAATAAGAAATCAAAAGATAAAAGACATTAAAAATAAAAAAGTAAAAGTAAAAGTAAAAAATTAAAATTAATACATACTAAAGAGGTAGGTAAAGGGAAAAAAGGAAAAAAGGGAAAATAAGTTTCCCAGCTGGGACTCGAAACCGGAATCCCGGTGTAGGAGACAGATGTTCAAGCGATTAGGCCACTGCGCCGTTAAGGATATAAACTATGGATTCCCACGTAAGTGATGTTAATCTGTACGCACCGCCATCTATTGATGAATAGAATTTTTATCAATTTTCAACTTTTGAACCTTTTAAAATTTTTGTTATAGCCTGAACCACCTCCCAGACGTGCTGATTCTGAAAATATCTTTAGTTTTCCTTTAGGCTGCGGAGTTCTCTAGTTATGCGAGTACGGACTAATTCGGCTGAACAACTTTATATATATAGCTAGATGAGAATAGACCTATTGAGAGTTGGGTTATTGAGTTTTCACGGAGATTGAATGGGAAAAATTCAATTTTATCACACTTTTTTGGAGGGGGGATGGAGGTGCTGAGACCCGACCGAAAGTATATTCTCGATCACAGGGGGCGATCGCCCCCCCCCCTAGAAATTTCAGGGCAAGGGTATTTTTGCCTAAGTAAGTCTGCACCGGTAACCCCAGTGAGGACATGTATATAGCACAGATTTAGTAGTAAGTATTTTAGTCTTTGGTGTCCCCAAAGATAAAAATATTCAACTCAACAGTGATATTATTGTGATGAAGATTGTTTAATAATGCTGCCTCAGAGTGCAGGAAATTGCATCTAAGAGAAATTTTCAACAATATTTCCGGGGGAGGTTCCCCGGACACCCCCCTAAAGGAGGAAAAATCTCCTGATTTATTATGATAAAAATGTCCAAAATTGATTGCTTTTAGATTGCAACTTTTTAACAATTCCACACAGTGGGAGGGGGACACCCCCTCCAACATCCCCATGCAAACTACCGCAAAAACCCATTAATATTTATGATACACCGCATGTATGGCTAGTTTGAAGCACGGTCACTAGCTAACTCAGCCCGGCCCTGCCCTCACGTGTGGAAGTTTCTTGCATTCGTATCGCGTGTGTGCCGTATATATGCGATTACAGCCGTAAACGCATCGAAGGAAGGTTGCCGCTTGTGCGTGCATGCAAGCGATATACGCTCTTGTAGCGATTCATCCGCTGTTATTGTAGACTTACTCCAAGCGTCCACGTCTTACTGAGCCCATAAGCTCGTAGCCCATGCCTAACAACGTGCGGAGGAAGTCTAGGTTAGTAGTGTGTAAGTAAGTGTGCGTAAGTGTCTGGTCAGCTTACCTACATATTATAGTCAAGAGCTAAAAATACGTATAGGTATTACATACAGGTATATAGGTATTACATACAGGTATATATAGGTATTACATACAGGTATATATAGGTATTACATTCTCTCTCTCTCTCTCTCTTTCTTTCTTTCTCTCTCTCTCTCTCTCTCTCTCTGTTTCTCTTTCTAATTTTATCCCGCGCTGCTCAGTAATACAACTGCTGTAATTAAATATTTTCAGCATGCGGCCATGAAACTGCTTATTGCATGTACGAAGAGCATCTACGAGCGCTGACGTCTGCGCCTAAAATAGCGCTGTAAGCTGTCGGAAGCGAGCGCTATTCGCACGCCACCTGGTGGCAATCGTCGATGCTAGTAATTGCATCGAAGTAACGACACGCGGACGTCGCTTCCCTCCTAGGCCACGGGAAGAGACAGCGGGCGACTGTGCACATGCGCGTGGCTAGCTCCATTAGTGCTACTAACCTGAACTATATATATTTATATACAGAGTGATATATAGTCGTTATTTGTATCGACAGCGCGTTCTCTCAGGATAACGTGACCCCACTCCCCCCTCCCCACTCCCCACTCTCCACTCTCCACCCTCCACTCTCCACTCTCCACTCAGGATAACGTGACCCCCACTCCCCCCTCCCCCTTCATTCTCCCGCTCCATCCCCCGCACTGTGCAGTGACTGCGTACAGAGCCGCGGCACACAGCCATTAGCTACTCAGCAATGAATAATCACCGTGACCCGGACATCGCAGCAGCAGCGCCGCCACCCGACGCGCATACGCACGAGACGCCACCTAGCGGCCAACAGGCGGCGCTCGCATCGGACTGCGGGGGCGACGATGCGAGTCGTGTGTGCGAGAGCGACGCTGGCGTCTCCAAGGAGACGGCGGCTGTAGGCGCCTCCAAGGAGACGGCGGCTAGCAAAGCAAGTGACGGCGAGGCGGTGGACGGGGCTTCCTCTGCAAGCTTCCTCTTTGCGGATTCTCGCGGTACGAGCGGGGAACGTTCGCGGGAGAGTCTCGCCGACATGACGAGACACGGCGCGGCGGCAGCGGCGACCGTCGTCCCGCGTGCTGACACAGAGGAAGCCGACGTCGCATCAATCACTACGACCTCCTTATCCCGCGACATCGCCCAGCCTAGCGCAGCTCGCGCATGCGCTCTACCCGGCAAGCCGTCGGCAGTGCACGCCGACGCCGACGTCGCTCGCCCGGCAGTCGACGAGACGCGCACCGCAGCGCCGCCGGCGTTGGCTCCCGTTGTCATGGCGACGGATAGCGTCGACGACGAGGCCGAGCGTGAGGACACGTTTGGCGAGGCGCCGCTGACTCCTCTCATACCGAGCAAGACGGTGGATGGCGGGGGCGGGCTGATGGAAGCTGCAGAGCAGGCCGGCGGCACGGCGGCGGCGGCGGCGGCGGCGGCGGCGGCGGTGAAGACAACTACACGCAACGCTCACTTGCATAAGATCGAGAGGTAAGGCTGCATTACAGGGCACGCAAAGCCGGGCACGACCCGTGGATCATGTCACGAGAGAGAGAGAGTGTGTATAGAATATATAGTATGTAACCCGGAGAATATAGTATGTAACCCGGAGCTCGTGTGTATGTGTAACAAATAACGGTGAGAGCTTGTTAGCAATACTTTGATCCGGTAATCCGATTTAAGTCCGGATCTTAATTAGAACGAGCTGCAGCGCGGCCTATAATTACTCAGACTCAGAGACGTAGATAGCGCGGGGGGGATATATCCCACCCTCACTTATTGAGGTGGGAATGACGTGTACAATCATCCCCCCTACTTTCAGGAGAAAAATGGGGAAAAAATTCATATTCTACAGACATTGAATACTGAACATTTATCCTACAAATCCGATTATCGCTATTCCATACCTTCGTTAATCTATTATTTACAAATGAACGTGCATACAGTCTACTGTAAAATGTCTGTAAACTCGTTCAAGAATGACCTATCTTTACTGAAAAATCAGAACGGTTAATTTTGGAACGAGATTTATACGAATTTTTTTCCAGATCCCCAAGTCACGTCTTATCAACTGCTTCACGAAAGTTAAATCCTGCTTGTAATTTCAAAACTAGCGGGATACGCGGCGTTTGCCCGGAAGAAATCAGTGGGCGTTACTCAGTCGCCGTGACCGCTGGTTGAAAGGAAAATACCAAAAAAATCTAACTATCTGATCTATCCATGGCTCCGTATCCATGCCATCCATTCACTCCATCCCATTCATGCCCATCCATCCCATCCATCGCACCGCATTCTATCCACATCCCATCCCATATCCATCACATCCCATCACATCCCATCCCATCATTCCATCCCATCCCATCGCCATCCTCGCCATCGCAGCCAGGCCCAGTGCCATCCCACCCTCGCCATCCCACAACAGTAAAAAATAATAAGAATAAAAGATACAAAGGCGATAAAAATAAAAAGTAAAAGTAAAGTTAAAGAAAGAGTCTAAAATTAATACATACTAAAGAGGTAAGGTAGAAGGAAAAAAAGGAGAAAAAGGGAGAAAATAAGTTCCCAGCTGGGACTCGAAACCGGCAATCCCGGTGTAGGAGACGGACGATTCTAGCGATGAGGCCACTGCGCGTTACGGATATAATATGTGTTCAACACGTACGTGATTTAATCTGGTACGCACCCCAATCTATGAGTCGATAGATGTTTTATCATTGTGTGAAACTTTTGAACTTTATTAAATTTTTGTTTCAGCCTAAACCACCTCGCCAGACGAGTGCTGAGTTCTAAAAATACTCTTTAGTTTTCCTCATAGGCTGGGCGACCAAGAGTTCTCTAAGTTTATGCGAGTACGACTATTCGGTCTGAACACTTATAGTATATATAGATAGATAAGAATAGAGCTTGTGAGAGGTTGGTTATTGAGTTTTCACGGAGATTGAATGGCGAGAAATTCAATTTTATTCACTTTTTGGAAGGTGGATGGGGCGTGCTTGACACCGACCCGGGAAGTATATTCCCGATTTTGTTTAGGGTAGTGAAAATATATGCACTTGGTGTTTTTTCTCGTACTTTTTTTTGTACAGTCTTTAACGTTTCTGCAGTAAAATATACGTTTTATCAGAAATTTCAGGGGAGATGCATTTCAGCTGTGTAGTGCCGGTGTCCGTGGCGTGATCCAGGGCCACAGGGGCGATCGCCGCCCGCTCTAGAAATTTCAGGCGCCTAGGATTTTTTGCCTAAGTAAGTCTGGCACGTGTTAACCCCAGTGAGGACAGATATATAAGCACAGGATTTGAGTTAGTAAGTATTTAGCTTCTTGGTGTCCACCAGAAGATAAAAATAGTTCAACTAACAGTTGATATTATTGTGATGAAGATTGTGTAATACAATGTCTGCCTCAGAGCTGCGAGGGGAAATTTGCATCTAAGAGGAGATTTTCAACAATATTTTCGGGGAGGTTCCCGGACCACCCCCACCCTAAACAGGAGGCGGGGACACACCTAAAGGAGGGAAAAATCTCCTCGACTTTATTATGGATAAAGATGTCCAAATTGATTGCTTTTATTATTTGCAAAACCCCTTTTTAACAATTCCACATCAGTGGTGAGGGGACACGGCCCTCCAGCAATCTCCCATTGCCAACTACCGCACGAACCACTGTTCACGATACACCGCTGATGTTTATGGCTAGTTGAGCGACCGGTCACTAGCTAACTCAGCCCGCCCTGACCCTCACGTGTGGAAGTTTCTTGCATTCGTATCGCCGTGTGTGCCGTATAGATATGCGATTACAGCCGTACAACGCATCGCAAGGAAGGTTGGCCGATTGTGTGCATGCAAGCGATATACGCGTGTTGTAAAGCGAATTGAGAGCTGGTCGTCGCCTGCTTAGATTTATAGACTTACTCAAGCGTCCACGTCTTACTAGCTCCACGCCCCCCAAGCTCGGTAGCCATGCTTAACAACGTTGCGGATGGAAGTCTAAGAGTTAGTTAGTGTGTAAGGGAAGTAGTGCGTAAGTGTCTGGACAGCGTTTACCTTACATATTATAGTCAATGAGGCTAAAAATAGTTAAGGTCATTACATACAGGATATATATAGGTTTACATTACAGGTATGATATCAGGTATCTACATACAGCGGTATATATAGGTATTACATACAGGGTATTATTAGGTATACACACAGGTATATAGGTATTACATTACAGTATATATAGGACGTATTAGCATACAAGTATATAGGTAATTACATTCAGGTAGATAGGTAATTACATTACAGGTATATATAGGTATTACATTACAGGTTATATATAGGGTATTACATACAAGGTATATAAAGTATTACATACAGGTATATAGGTATTACATTTACAGGTATATATAGGTATTACATACAGGTATATAGGTATTACACACAGGTATATAGGTATTAAATACAGATATATAGGTATTACATACAGTATATAGGTATTACATACAGGGTATATAGGTATTACATACCAGGTATTATATATGATATTAACATACAGGTATATAGGGTATACATACAGGGAATATATATAGGTATTAACACTACAAGTATATAGGTATTACATACAGGTATATATAGGTATTACGTTACAGGTATATATTAGCTGGGCCCGGAGTGTATTACACACAGGTATATAGGTATTAAATAACGACTATATGTGAGACTTTACATAAGGTATATAAGTATTGTACATACAAGGTATATTAGGTATTACATACAGTATATATAGATATTACCATACAGGTATATAGGTATTACATACAGGTATATATAGTATACATACAAGTATATAGGTATTACATACAGGTATATATAGGTATTACATACAGTATATATTAGGTATTACATACAGGTATATAGGTATTATTACCATATATATAGGTATTACAATACAAGTATATATAGGTATTACATACAGGTATATAGGTATTACATACAGGTCTATATAGGTATTACATACAGGTATATAGGTATTACATACAGGTATATAGGTATTACATACAGGTATATATAGGTATTACATACAGGTATATAGGTATTATACACATATATATAGGTATTATATACATATATATAGGTGTATACATACAGGTATTATTAGCTCTTGATATAGTGCATATACGAGCTGCGTCGATGATCACCCGTTAATTTTCACACACCGTGTGTTACCGGCGGGCTGTATGGCTTCATTGAGAAAACGACATCAGCTATCAGCGAGCGCTCGGCCTGCACCGTAACAGGAAGACTAAGCATCCACGATGAGCTGCTGCATCGTTAGCAGCAGCAGCAGCAGCAGCCGCAAGTCGGCGCCTGCCTCGTTTGCATATTAACGGCTCTGACGCAAGCGCTCGCAGCAAGCGCGCGCTGTAAAAATGCGAAACTCACCGAAGCGCGATTCGCTAAAGTTTAAACCCGATAACTGAGTCGGATTTAAATTTTCGCGACGGTCAAGCATGGGCGGTAATCATTACAGAGCTTCTCGTTTTAGCGGCAAAGGCTTGCTCTAAACGTATTCATGCTCTCAGCTCGCTAGCAACGGTTGCTCCGCTGCTCGCTCGGTACAAAGGGACAAAACATAGATTTATTCTAGACATCGCACAACGATGAATAAGCAATAGGCGAGTTAGCCGTAGACTGAGAAATATTCCAGGCGTTGTACACGCTGATGAATATGGTTAACTTTATATTTAAAATTATGGCGCGGCGGCAAGAAGGAGAAAGGGATGACGTATCATAAATACTTTCAATTCTCACAGCCGTGCGGGCCGCGTGGCAATCGTTAACGAGATTGCTGCAACTACAAGACGCTAATCCATCTGTAGAATTCGAAGGTTTAGCAGACCGCCTTGCTACTCGAAATTAAAAAAATTCCCGGAAAAGGGCTCAAGTAGCGCGAAAGCAAAGCTGCTCATGCAGTCTTATTAACAGAAGCCAGCGCAGATGTTTCAACGTTTGCAAGTGACAGGATCATGCGTGTAAGACCAAAGACAATGACAGAAACCCCCCATTACAAGCAACCTTCTAACGGTACAAGGGCACATTCCTTAATCAGCGGCATGCTTTCAAGTGCTGATGGTTTTACCTCGTCGTGAGGTACGTCCGTAGACGCGCAAGACGGCGCCGGTTTCATGCGGCGTCACGTGAGATGGAGATGCCACATCGGCAAAGCGTTAACGTTATTAGAATTTATTTTAATACCGCCAACATTCCACTAGTATTCATATTTAAACATATTAATTCATGTAACATTTCATCAAAATAGTATTGATTTGTGGTGACGATATAAATTCATAATGATTTTTAGAAGCTTCATCTCCCGTAACATTACTTGTACCCTTGTACATTATTTGTGGTTTTGAATAAACTCGTTTTTGAATGAATAGTTTGGCGCGCAGTCGACTCAAAATGTAAACATTGCGCGCGCGGGCGAGTCTGTTTCCGCATGAGTATGAACTTGTA